TAAATGTTATCTGTGGCAATAATATCGGTACTAAGGTTTTGCCTTCTACATTTTGTGCAGCACTGCCGAGAACATGAAGAACATCACTAGTGCCCAGAGGAATGATTTGGACTGAGCTGTCGGCACCAGTGTCAGCGTGACAACGAGCCTGCCTGTGACCACGTCAGGGGCCTGTACCTGCAGCCCGGGCTGGCGGATGGGGCTGTGTGTCTGGGACGGCCGCCACGCCGAGCGAGGGATGGAAGTGGAAATCGACCGTAGCAGGCAGCGTGCGGACTGCAGTGTACCCAGAGCTGGACTGTGCCCAACGGGTGACATGAGCTCCAGATCTACAGTCATGCTGATCTTCCGACGGACAAGACCACCACAAGGAAGAATCACAAGACAACAACTGAGATGACTGCGGTGGCATATATGGTTAAACACATAAGATAAAGGTGCAACTCCCCAAAGACAGTATGAGGACTGTGGTTCACCCACATGTCAAGGAGCCAAGTAAAATGCTGGGGTTTGAACCCCGAGCCCCCAGATTAAGGTTGACATACGGGTGATTCCCATAGCCCTTCATAAAGAGGTGGTGAGTTTGCCTTATAGCTTCCCCTCAGGGTGTGGCCGGGCCCCGGTGGCCGGCCCGGCAGGGAGAGCCAGAAGGGAAATGAGCCCCAGGGGTCCCGCACTGAGTTGACAAAGGTCAGGTGTTCATCTTCCTGCTGGTGGTATCATTTTTGTTGGGCCTGGTCATTGGCAAAACAACTATGTATGTTATACATCTGCCTCTAGCATCCATTTACCTTTCAGCTTTTGTACGCTTATCTGGATTTACTTCTTTTATCACATGCAAGTCAGTAATTTAGAAAATTTTAACAGGAAGCCCTACACAAGAATTAAAATTCTGTAAGTATTGTTAGCTTCACCTTGAATAACATTTTCTAATTACCTACAGTAAAACAGACAAAGAGGAGGCAAAAAGTGGAAGAGTTAGGAAGTTGGTTTCAAAAAAATAAACAAAAAACACATCACAGAGACATGCAACCACAACACAGACACCTTAAACAATTAGATCTAAGTTACCCTGCAAAGTTTTACCAGTTAAAAGAATAGTGTTTTGGCTTACTGACATCACCTGGGATATTTACGTAGCATCAGTAAACGAAGCCGATCTTTCGCCTCCTCAATGTTAAGTGGTGGCCTTTGTGAAACAGTGGAGTCATGCTCTAATCTACTGCAGAGGTTCTGAAGTTTTATTAGGAGCCCTGCTTTGTCCTGTTTTCCAACAGAGATCCAGTGAACGCCTCCTGGAAAGTAATCTAACAAGAAGAGCAGTATTAATCATGCTATACATATAAAATCAGAGATATTTAATAGCAGCTTCCAATAGCAATCAATAACTCAATTTCAATTAAAATATAAAACTCTAAACTATTACAAGCCACCTTTGCAACTCTATCATTAACACAGAAAGATGGTTCTACACAACCACTACTTTTTCAAGAAACAGGCTCTGTAGGGCAAGTTCCCACACAGAGTTCACCCTGCCACTGATGCTGTCATCCCTCCTCCCTGCATGCTTTCCTGCCTGTCCCTTGACAATCACTTCTGCATCCGTCTTGCCGCTAATCTGCCCTAAAATTTACTTTCTTAACCCTGTATTACTGCAGGAGTTCAGAGTTTGGGATATGAAAATTATTCTGAAACAGTGAACAAACTCATCTAGCCAGATGCAGCAGAGAATGCTGTAGTCTCTGTCTCTACATCATGTTCTCTAGCACCCGATTCCCACTTTCCCCTCCAAATGTCCTATGCAAAGGAAAAATAAAAATTTTAATCATTATATGGTTTAATTTATGATCTCATTTAAGCTAAAGTGATACTAATGTAATGATTCTACAAAGGTATTATTAAAACTTGAGGATTTAAGAAGCAATGATCAAAGGAATAGAAACTAGACATTATTATTTTGCACTATCAAAATAACGATTTCAAGTTAAATAAGGATGTATCTACTCTCGTAAATCAAAGCAGATACCAAGGTGAAAAGCTATTCAGAATCTTTTTCCATAAATTAATCAAATACTTAGTGGTCCTAGAGCATGAAAAGGTTATTAAAGTTCTAAATTGCAAGGAAATATTTCAAAAGCACCTAAGGAATTTAGAAACCCAAATTCTAAATTACTTTCAAGATGATAGGATACTTCAACATATATGTCCAATATGCATATATCTGTAGTAATTTTCATTAAAATATAGATGTTTTACTAGAATTACCTTCCAGGAGCTGATGATCCCTTAAAGCTTCTGCTGTTAAAACAGTCTTCCCACAACCTGCCATTCCATAAACTGTGACCCAGCCTGGATCACTTCCCAAGCAGCACAGTTTCTTTTTAATGGCATCTACCAGTTTTGGCCGGGCGACAAACACAACTGGTCTCTGTGGTACACCTCCTTCACAGAGAACTGTCTTTACTAAAAGTTAAAAGGAAGAAACATGAAAAAAAAAAAAAAAAAAGTAATTTCTATATGTGATGCCTTTCCAAACCAAACCAAACCAAACAACTCCTCAACCCAAATAACTAGTGAGCTTCCACCCCACCTCCATATAAATGATCTAAAAACTGCTGGACCCAACACCAAATACTGCAAAAAATACTGGTTTTTTGTTTTTTTTTTTTAAATAAATTGCTTATTGGGTAATTAGCAATACAATACACCTACTATAGTGTTCCAACTAATAACTACATATGAGGCAAGCTAGTTACATCAATCCCTAGAAGTGAAAAGATAATCAACAGCTCCAGTGGAAACCATGGCAAACACAGGAGATCAACATTCAAATCACTTTCTCATTCAGAAGTTACTATCCCATGAATGCAGCAGGAAAACAAGCATGCTCTCTAAGGCTTTTACTTTGTAGATAAGAGCACAACATTTTTGTCCAACTAAGACCTCCTCTGATGTAAGCTAAGGCAGCAGGATTTGCAACGGAGCAGGTAAAGCTCAGCAGGAAAGGAAACGTGCACTGTACTAGCTCACTGCTGGCCACAAAGTGGCCACATGCAGTGCTGTATTATACTGAGAAGTACTGGGAAATGTTACTCAGGTAATCAAAATTCCACATGTCTTTGACAGTTCTTAAAATGTGGAATGTCAGTAAACATGGAAGTTAGTCACACGCAATTAGAACAAGGTTCTTCCCATTAAAAACTACCAATTTATTTAATGTCAGTCAGAGATGATACTGATGACAATGTAGGTAAAAGTTATATAAGGAAACCAAAAGATCTAGCGGAGAGAATTAAGCAATCTAATAACTAGGTCAACTATTGGAATGTAGGCTGAGATATTATAGATCACTTTTCAATATAAACATCAGAATTTTAGAAGCTACAACTTCTTCTGTTAGATTCAACTACTTTAACATATACAAATAAAAGTCTTTTTTTTCATATACAACAAAAATATTATAATTTAGAGGAAACAGAGAGCTTCAGATTTCACATCTTCAAAAACAGACATTGTTTAATGTGAACATTTTTGAGGTGACCTACAAAAATCCTAACTGTTGTAACTCTCCTGCCACATTAAATATATGTAGTACAAATACACTACCAAAACAAGCGAATGGACCAGCTACTCCTTTTTCCTTGAAACAGGCAGTATAGATATTCACTTAAGAAGGAATAAAAAAGGTAACTTGTCTTTACTTTCACGCACAGGGACTGCAGCAGTTACACTGACCGTATGAAGTCATTCCATCCATTGAACTCCTTCCACCACCAGAGGGGAGGGCAGGGATGCCGTCCTGAAGAAGCGCCGCAAGGTCTCTGTACCCTTCATGAAGTAGTGCATTATAAAAGGATCTATACGAATTATTATCTTTTGTAAGAATAATGTTGATTAGCATAGCTGCTCGCTCTTTCTGTGTACTCTAGGAAAAAGAAAAATTTAAAACAGATGTTTATATGAAACTAAACGACCTCAGAAATCACCTCATCTATCACTCTGTCAGTTACAGACTGTTTATAGTTACAGAAATAACCAAGTTGACCAAGCCCTTAGCTCAACCTTATGAAGTGCAATAAAAACTGCATGCTGGGCATACGCTTAAGAATTTGTTGAATCCAGGAATAAGACAGAGAGAAATTACTATTAACATTTCTTAAATAACTTTTTAAAAGATGACAAAACATGTGAGTAGACTAGGAAGAAAAGCAGCAGTGAGAGACTGTTCTACCTGTTGTTTCACCCTCTCCTCCTCCTGTAAAGTTAGGACTTCGTCAGAAATCATATGATCCATAATATAAGAGGTCTTTATGTCTCTTTCCAATGCTTGGCGATTCTTAAGTAAATGTCTTCGACTCTTGACATCCATATTTCTTCAGTGTCAAAAAGAAGAGGGGAAAAAAAAAAAAAAGTCAAATCGAAACCAGAACATAACTTACAAGTGAAAAAGTAGCAGAGAAGCTGCATTAGTGGAAAATACAGGGAATCTTCAGGCAAACTCATAGTACAACCTGCAGAAGAGCTGCCTTTAGATAAACCGGCGACGGAGTGCTGCTTCTGCTGTACGGACAGCATTTCCTATTTCCACCGAAAATTGTGCGGTTAGGAATGTCTACCTTTACCCCAGCGCGCCGCTTAGGCACGGGGATGTTGAAAGCTCCCAACCGAGAAACGTCACGGTAAAAA